CCCGAACATGAATTTGATGTTGATATTAAGTTAATTTCATTCATCACACTGTAAATGGACATTCAAGTTGAGCTTATTGCATTGTGGGATACATTACCCAGTACGCTGGCATGTTTGCAGGTTGCATAATATATGCACATGGGCGGCGCTAGGGAGGGGCTAGCAGGTGCTTCAGCACCCCCAAGAAAGACAAAAGCACCCCCACAGATTTTTTCCTGGAATCAATTATATACATGCTATAGCCTATTGTATTTAATAATTATGAAAACAAAAAAAAAAAAAACATTTGACTCCTTACGCATGCATAACTCGTGCAATGCAATAACGACGTGATTTGCAGCTGTCCCACTTTTCGTAATGTCATTATAGTATTTTATTTTAAAAATGGAGCGCTTCCTTGTGCTAAGTAGGCCTGCCCCCGACTAAAGATTTTTCTAGTCAACTAGTCGCTCGTTATATTGAATTGACAGTGCATGCAAGCACTGTCACCGGCAGCAAGTTTAGTTTTACTTTTCTTTTTGTTTTCATTTTGAAAAGCTTATCTTTGCTGTTTACCTCACGTTATGCTATGGAGGCTCTCTTAAATTATTATTTTTTTGATTCCTCAGTGTTTGCTAAACGTTCTAATTTATTAGTCATTATATAATAGGCTACAGCATGTGGTGTATGCCATGCCTCGTGACTCGTCTTATTCGTTTTTGTTAATAAACGTTTTGTAAGTTAGTTTGTCATTGTATCTTACGGTTTTATTGTTGTGCTTTTTAATTAAAAATAACAATGAATCCATCTTTTGTTTTAGTCTTAAAAAGTGAAAGGTGTATAGATGTAAGCAAAACAGCCAATTAGCCTATGTTTTCTTGTAAAACGTGACAAGATCGCGAAATCGAAAGTGAAAGCATCCGAAGCCCAGCTTATAACATAGCAAAAGAGGAACTCTCATTCACAAAATTCAAATCACAAATAATACTACTGATGAAAAAGAACGAGTTGAATGTTAACCACTTTTTGTTTCCATATAACTACACTGAACAAAATTATAAATGCAACACTTTTGTTTTTGCCCCCATTTTTCATGAGCTGAACTCAAAGATCTAAGACTTTTTCTATGTACACAAAAGGCCTATTTCTCTCAAATATTGTTCACAAATCTGTCTAAATCTGTGTTAGTGAGCACTTCTTCCTTTGCCGAGATAATCCATCCACCTCACAGGTGTGGCATATCAAGATACTGATTAGACAGCATGATTATTGCACAGGTGTGCCTTAGGCTGGCCACAATAAAAGGCCACTCTAAAATGTGCAGTTTTATCACACAGCACAATGCCACAGATGTCGCGAGTTTTGAGGGAGCGTGCAATTGGCATGCTGACTGCAGGAATGTCCACCAGAGCTGTTGCCCGTGAATTGAATGTTCATTTCTCTACCATAAGCCATCTCCAAAGGCGTTTCAGAGAATTTGACAGTACATCCAACCGGCCTCACAACCACAGACCACGTGTAACCACACCAGCCCAGGACCTCCACATCCAGTATCTTCACCTCCAAGATCGTCTGAGACCAGCCACCCGGACAGCTGCTGCAACAATCGCTTTGCATAACCAAAGAATTTCTGCACAAACTGTCAGAAACCGTCTCAAGGAAGCTCATCTGCATGCTCGTCGTACTCATCGGGGTCTCGACCTGACTGCAGTTCCTCGTCGTAACCGACTTGAGTGGGCAAATGCTCACATTCGATGGCATCTGGCAC